AAGGGACCAAACCCAATTGCTAAGCTTTATCGCCATTTAGAAATTAGCAAAGTGACTAAGCCCAGTTGCTAAGCAGTGTCGCCATTTAGAAATTAGCAAAGGGACCAAACCCAATTGCTAAATGATGCCGCCATTTAGTAATTAGCAAAGGACCAAACCCAATTGCTAAGCTATCTCGCCATTTAGAAATTAGCAAAGTGACTAAACTCAGTTGCTAAGCTATATCGCCATTTAGAAATTAGCAAAGTGACTAAGCTCAGTTGCTAAGCAGTGTCGCCATTTAGAAATTAGCAAAGGGACCAAATCCAATTGCTAACTGATGCCGCCATTTAGAAATTAGCAAAGGGACTAAACCCAATTGCTAAGCAGTGTCGCCATTTAGAAATTAGCAAAGGGACCAAACCGAATTTCTAAGTGATGCCGCCATTTAGAAATTGGCAAAGGGACCAAACCCAATTGCTAAGCTATCTCGCCATTTAGAAATTAGCAAAGTGACTAAACCGAGTGATTCTTTTCACAGGTAAGATTTATGGGACGGATAGTACGAAATTATAATTTATAAAAATATTTTGTCAAAATTCAGCACTCGTTCTGTCGTTCACTCATGTCAATATGAACTGCAAATATTTCAATATTGGACATAAAAGTCATAAAAAACCTTGTAAAATTTGTGGTCATAAGATTTACTGTTTTGTTTTAGCCCTGACGATGTGTCTTACACAGATTATGGTGTGAAAATAATTTATTAATACACTTAATATAGACCAGGATTAGCACATGCAAGGCCAGAGAGGGGAGCAAAGGGGGCAAAATAGCCAGGACCACTACACTGGATTCACTTGTTATATGACATCAACATATAGTTGTAGTAATGGCTCACATGCAATAAATTGACTGATCCGATTTTGCCATATAATCAAGTGACAAGTATTAAGAGACTCCTGAAACTGTTAAATTTGATGTTGTGAGCAGTGGCATAGCCAGTAAAACAGAAGTGGGGGGAAAATCAATGGCGTTCTTAAGAAATTGGTGGGTGGGTCGGTGAGGGAGCTGCCGAAGGCATGAGGCTGTTAGCGGGTCTGGGGCACGCTCACCCAGAAGATTTTGAAATCTGAAAACATCCACATCATCCCTACACAGGAAATGTAAAGTTGCAAGCCCCCGTCCTGTTTATAGTGTATTTTGCTTTTCTCAGGAGTAGATTCTTCCCCTCCCGACACCATAAATTTCCTCCATGTATAGTTGGAGTGTGGATTTTTCTGGAATATGACTTTCAAACCATACATGTATTTCCACCACAGAGTGGTATACACAAAGAACTACAACAAGAATATTTTTATTAATTAACCTAACTGTGGAACTTTCCCTGTGATTGTCTTGACTTTCATGAAATTGGTTACAGAGAAACTATGATTAAACTAGAAGAAGCATGCATCCACAATTTTTGGTAATAAATGCTGTTTTTCAGGTGGAAGAATGTGTAATTTTTATAATATTAGTGTAATATGATTGTTGTCTTTTATCTTGCAGCAATTATGGGTTATAGATATCACAAAACATGGGACAAAGCATTAAAATGCAGAATAGCCAAAAGCGAAGTCATGATATTAAATGCCATAATAACTCAATTATCTGATGGCAATCATTGATGGATTCTCTGAGAGGTGGTGTGCACCCCCAAAAAATATTTTCACACCTCAGAAATTTAAATGCTGGTTTGAATTAAATGACAGCAGTATAATTGAACAAGAATTTTGAACTAAATGACTAAAAAGAAGGCCAATAATCTCGAAATATCCTGGGATCGTTGCCCCAACCTTATCCCAACTCTGTCCCCACTATTGACTGTACCCTCAGACTCTGCTGCATCTTACTCAGCACACTACGTGCTCCTTACCCACTTTCTACCCCTGAATGTTTCTGCACACCCACACCCCAACTGCCCAAGCAAAATTTGAAAATCTGTCTATGATCATGGTGATCATGATAACATATAAAAGTATAAACCTTTATTAAGTTAATGTTAATTAAGTCATGGGTGGATTCAGCAAGGTTTTTCTAGGTGGTGCTGGGTGAGCAGCCAATTAGTGTTTCTTTATAATTCTTTAGGGGGTGGTGGGAGAGCATTCAAATGAATTGGCTTCATAACGACTCAAGCACCAAAGGCGCAAGCTCCCTAGGGGGTTCAGGGGTATGCCCCCAGAAAATTTTGAAAATTAGAACTCTAGAAATGCCATTTCCTGTGATATGGACATTGAATTATGAGCTTCAGTTTGACTTCAAAAAGGGAAAACCTTGGAAATTATGCCATATTTCTGAATTTTGATTTATTGCACCCCTGAGCAAAGCCAACAGAGGTGTGTACCCCCTATTAATCTACCCCTGATTAAGTTAACACATACTCCACTACATCATGTACACTTAATTACAATAATTTTAGTGTTAATTTAAAATTATTCACTGTTAATAATTTTACTGTATTGAAGAAGTCCAATTAAAATAGTTCAAAATTAATCCAGCTTTTGTGTCTTCAATTACCATACATCTTGCTTGGTACTGTATTTTGCCTGCACTACTTTTACTTGTCGATGGGACAGCCACTCTATGGGTTAATTGGGAAACCAGAGTGAGTCAGGACAAATGCCAAATTATGGTATCCCAATTGTGAGATAATTCTGGAATAAACAAGAATATATTAATAGTTTTGTTTGTGGAAACACCACATAAATTTATTACTGCAAAGCTTTCGATCCGGAAGCCAGGATCTTCATCAGTGCTAATAATATGTCCAATAATAATAATATGCACTGATGAAGATCCTGGCTTACGGATCGAAAGCTTTGCAGTAATAAATTTACGTGGTGTTTCCACAAACAAAACTATTATATTTTATCGCCATGCAAACATACAAAGAACTTAAGAATATATTATATGTTGTAACTTTGAGCACAAAAATCATGATGGGAAAAACAAAACAATGTCATGTGACTCAACTCCAAACCAGAGACACCAGAACCATTGGTGCAATTATCAGGCTTATTAATGGTATAATAATCAAAAGTGGCTAGGATACAAGGCACCTTCTCAGTGCAAGGGAAGCAACATACAGTAGTTACTGAGTAATTGCCAGATTGCCATCCAGTATATCTGGTGTTCCAAATTGCTAAACCCATTAAGCTGCAGAGCTACCCCATTGACAAGTAAAATCGTCTGGCGTTAGACAAGTAAAAAAAAATAAGCAGGGCGCACTGGGGTGCATTGCAGCTCAATGGGTGAAGGTTTTGATAGGAGTTATGTGCCACCTGAGCTTACATCGATCACCCCTACAACCCTGTGCCCCCCCCCCCCAATAATGTGTTGTAAATGACCAATGTAATATCTTTTCATCACACAGCAACATTTTCTCAGGGGGGGGAGTTATATAAGTTATTTACAGGTATTTTGGGAAATATTTGAGTACTCCAAAAGTCATTGACATTGATTGATTAGCCTTGTATGCAAAGTTGGCATATATTACACAAAACCTGAATATATACAATACAATACAATACAATACAATACAATACAATACAATACAATACAATACAATACAATACAATACAATACAATACAATACAATTTATTCAGTAATACATACATAAATATAAAATAAAGATAAAGTTACGAAAAGAAGGTACTAGCTAACTGTAATAACCAAAAGGCTAATCGAGACAGTCATCGAATTTGATTAGTAACAAAATATATTTTAGTGGGTAAACTGAATAAATAAAACACATGCAATAAAGATTTCAAAATGGACAATTTTGATGCTATAAGCTAATATGAATTCAATATATTATTTTTAAGTTTGTTTTTAAACTGTGATTTAGAAAGACCCTTAAGATTTTCGTCAATTGAATTCCACACATTACTGCCAACAAAACGTATATTAAATTTTACATAGTTGGTTCTTACTTTTGGAAGGGAGTATGACGATCTCGAAGCAAGTCTGGTGTTATAATTATGTTTCTGGCTTATATACTAATGCAAAATACTCATCAAATACGTGAGGAAGTCGACCTGTATGAAAGTCATACATAAATAGTGCATTATGATAAAAAATAAGGTCATGAAACTTGAGAAAACGAAGTTGAATGAAGAGAGGGTTAGTATGATCCTGATAGTTAGAAAATGTTATTAAACGAATAATCTTTTTTTGTAAGATAGCTAATGGATTCACTGTTGTATTGTACGTGTTACCCCAAGCAACTAGAGCGTATGTAAGAAATGGATAGATAAGTGAATAATATAAATTAATAAGAATATCCAAGGTCACAAAATTACGTATTTTTGAGATAACTCCAATATTGCGCTTTATCTTTTTGAAATTAGATGTTTGCTTCAATAATTTATTGTTAATCGTTAATTGGATACTAGAAGAAATTTTTTTCTGAGGAGGGTGAAATATAACAAAGTTTGTCTTATCGATGTTAAGCGACAATTTGTTAACACAGAGCCATTTATTTATATGCTCAAGTTGACTATTTATAGTAGATTCAAGAATTGGTAGGCTTTTATTATCAAAGAATAAGCTTGAATCGTCAGCAAAAAGAAAAAAGTCAAGAATTCTGGAGGAATTACAAAAATCATTTATATAGATTAGAAATAGAAGTGGGCCAAGGACAGAACCTTGAGGTACACCACATGTAATAGGCATTAAAGATGATCTAACATTGCCAATTGTCACAAACTGTTGCCGATTCTCTAGATACTATTGGAACCATTTAAGTGCCACGCCTCGTATACCATACCATTCAAGTTTTTGCAATAAAATATGATGGTTAACTGTATCAAATGCTTTCGACAAATCAAGGAATACAGCACACGAATATTTACCATCATCGATAGCTTTCTGTATCTTATCAACTATTGATAAAATTGCATGTAATGTAGAATGATTTGAACGAAAGCCAAACTGTTTAGTATATATTATATCATATTTTTCAACAAAGTTTGACAGACGTTTAGACACAATTTCTTCAAGAATCTGGTTAAAAATAGATAATAAAGATATAGGGCGATAATTGTCTAAGATTAATTGTGAGCCTTTTTTATGTACAGGAATGACACTAGCCAGTTTGAATTGGCTAGGTACAGTACCAGTTGAAAGACAACAATTAAAAATAGATTCCAAAGGCTTTGAAATAAATCTCCTTAGCAATTTCAGAATTTTAACTGGTATGCTATACGGGCCCGTAGCTTTTGAGGAATTAAACTGGACAATTATTTCTTCAATTTCGTTAGAGGAAGTTGGATTCAAGAACAGACTATTTACTTGGCGAGAAGTCATAAATGACACTGGACTTGTATCAATACAGGGGACATTTCTAGTTAATGCATTTCCAATATTAGCAAAAAAATCATTAAACCTGTCAGCAATTGATTTACTATCAGTTATTTCATCACCATTAATAAGTATCTTTGAGGGTAAACCTCTGTTTTTTGTTTTGAGAGTTATTATTTGTTTAATTCCTTTCCATATATTTTTTATGTGCGATTTGTTTGTGGTAAAATATTGATTATAATAATTAATTTTACTAATTTTTAATAAGTGATTTATTTTGTTCCTATAGGTTTTAAATTTATTGTAAAAGTACAGTGATCATTTTAATATATTTTTTATAATAATTGTTCTTAAGTTTTATAGACATTCTAATCCCTGAGGTTATCCAAGGTTTATCAAAGTGTTTAAGTTCTTTTTTGCTCAGATGTTGCAGAGGAATATGTTTATCTACAATGCTAGACAGTTTGGAGTGAAAAATATCAAACACTTCTGTTGGATTGCTATCATTGGATGTTTCCATGTTCCAATCAGCAGACTGAATTTCTTCAAGTAATAAAGCTTCATTATATTTGGAATAATCCCTATGGGAGAGTTTAAAGTTCTTAGGTAGTGCTGTAAACTTATTTATAACTAGAAAATTCGGAAGATGATCAGTTAAATCATATATTATGTTACCACTAACAGTATGATGATTAACTGAGTTGAAACATATGTTGTCAATTAGAGTAGCCGAGTGATCAGTTATTCGTGTTGGTTGTAGTATGTGAGGATGAAAAAAATAAGATCCCATTAAATTTACAAACTCGTCGGTACCTGCGTGAGATTCAAAATTTAAAAGATTTAGATTAAAATCTCCCATAATTATACAATATTTGTTTTCTCTACTAATTATATTTAGAGCATTATTCAAGAACACCATAAATGCTTCGAGATCACTTTGGGGATGTCTGTAAATTACCCCACAAATAAGATTATGATGCAGATTACTCTTTATCTCAATCCATAATGATTCGAATTGAATTGACGAACAAGACAGGTCTGATCTTGTTGAATAAATTAGATTAGATTAGATTAGAAATTTATTATCTTTCCCACAGAGGAGCTTTTCAAAGATAATTACAAAAGAAATGCAATAATTTACATAAATATAAATATATATATATGTATATATATATATATATATATATATATATATATATATATATATATATATATATATATATATATATATATATATATATATATATATATATATACAGGAATATAAGTACCTAATTACTATTTTATAGACATACACATTACTATAACTCAAAATAATAACTCAAACTATCATTATCATTACTAATAACTCAAACTATCATTAATAAAAAACCCAGTGCCACCTGCATTTGATAAACTAGGTTGAGAAACAAATGTGTATCCAGGTAAGTATTGATTAGATATTGCCTCTCTAGAAGTATTAAGTTTGGTCTCAGTAAGACCAATTATAGAAAAACAGTGATTTAGCTCGTTAAGCATATGTACAAAGCCATCAAAATTAGCAGCAAGGCTTCTTATATTAGAATGAAGAGCAGAAAAACTTCCACTGGAAATGCAGCTTTGGATCTGATTGCTATGGAGAAAGTCCTCGGTAGTATAGTACTTAAAATTAGTTTGTAAAGGCAAATTTACATCTGGATCAACATAAGATAAATTGTTATTTGAATTCAAGCTATAGAAATTATCTGACTCTAGCAAAGGTAAAGAATTTAACTTAGCAGCCATGACATTATATCACTATATCTATTAAAGTTTTAAATATACAATAAACTAAGTACTTATCCAGCCATTGGAATGTCTCTGATGTGTGTGATACCAATTGAAGGGCTAGACTCATCTTTGTGTAAAAAAATCTTTCCATTTACTGTCCAGATAAACTTATAATGTTGCTGTTTCTTGAATTCGAGGCACTTGTTAAATAATTTCTTGTTTGCCTGGGTTAGGCTTTCTGCTATATAAATTTTACGTTCAGCAGTTCTGAGAATACCAATATCTCGTGTTGTAATTTGACGGAGATTCTTCCTTGCCTTGTACAGTTGATCTGGAATATCACGCCGAATAAATTTGGCGATAATGGCGGGTTCCGTGTTTCGACTATTATTTCGATTAGCAGGCAGACGATGACTTATGGATATGTCGTTAGATTCAATTGCAATACCAATTACTTCACCAACTTTCCGAACAATTTCATTTGTCTTTTCTCCGGGTAGCACCGGTATACCTCGGATTTCAAGGCATTCTCTCCTAGAGTACTGTTCTAGGTTATTCAGATCTTGTTTCATCAACTCAATGTTGTTGGTAGAACTAAGTAGAGATTCTTTAAGGAATTTATTTTCTTTAGCTAATTCGTTGTTAAAATCTTCCATAGCTATCACTTTTAGAAGGAGATCATCATATTTATCGCTCAGAAATGATAGAGATTGCTCTATTTTATCGATTGTGGCCACCTTGTTTTTTACTTCGTCGAGGGTCTCAAGGATAGGATTAAGTTTCTTGTCTAAAAGCTTCTCAATAAGATTTGTAAGCATCTTTTCATCCATCTTTAGATGAAGGTCTTTGTAAAGGTTAGAATTAACGAAAAACAAACAAAGAATGTGAAGTTATTGTGAAAATATTTCACTTTTAACATTCAATTTGTCGGGAGCTCAAAAATCGCCATCTTGCTGCCCGTGCTTCCACTCATCCATTTAAGCACATACCTGACATACCGTTTGCTTTGAAGGAACGTCTGGAGTTAATAGCATTTTCTAAAGTAATTTATAAATAACAAAAAGTTGTAGTTTCTGCGACCAAATTTTGAAATATACAGATGCCAAATTACAACAAAAAACCCAGCAAAATTAAAGGCTGTTTTCTTAACAAAAAGAGTGCATTTCATCGTTAAGCTTAAGTTAAGCCTACCCATTTTATGTGAGATAAGATAAAGCATAAATAAAATTGAATGAAATACCTGTTTTTGCTCGCTGATTCAAATATCCTCTTTGCTCATATTCCGTGGCAGTGCGAGGTTTGGATTTTGTTAATTTGTTGTCTTCCCAGGAAGAATAACACTTGCACATCTTTGAACCAATAACCAAATTTAGAAAAAATATCTCGAAAATATTCTAATAATCGATTCAAATCATCGAGAAAATACTATAAAGCAAAATTACAAAAACCTAAATTTTTTTAAGAAAACCAGGCAGGTGTGGAAATTGTAGCGGGCTCAGATCCGAGCCTGTTCAGTGGTAATCCACGAGCCGACGGCGCGAAGCGCCGTACGAGGGTACTAATTCCGACCGGCTATTTACACCTGGGGAAAGGAACGCACTAGCGAAGTCTAAAGTTCATCAAATATCGTGGGCGCATGACTCACCGTTCATGGGTGGACATCCCAGTGAACTGTACTGGAACGATAACTATAACTATAACTACAACTATAACTATAAGGGACGGACCATTATAGATATTGGAGGGGGTGGTTGCAGCTTTTTTCCTTGCAGGAATTTTTTTTAGACGCACATGTTGTGCACGCTTTTTTTCGTTTAATAGTCAAACGCTTGCAAGAATTTTTTTATTTGTAGTTTTTAATAGCGGCAGGTTACAATATCTTTGAAAGAAAATTTGATAGTGTACATGTAAACAGGTCCTTTCGACAGTGACTGCTCCGTTTCCGGCCAGTGGCGTAGCCAGACTTTCATTTTCGGGTGGGCGAAGTTCACGCCGAAGGCGTGAGAAATCTAGAAATCTAGAGTACCTGAAATGCGATTTCAAGCATTTTGGGGGTGAAATCTAGCAGAATTCCGAAGATTATAAAGTACATCGAAGACATGAATTTTCCCAGACATTTCTACTCGGAATTAAATAAATTGGAAAGTCACCTTAAAAAACAGGAGGAGGGGTCAGTGTCACCTTATTTGTCCACTGTGATGCTGGGGGAAGCATGTGATTTTGATCAGAAATGTTGCATTTAAATCATTCTAGGTTCCATGAGACACCATTTCCGCATTCTCAAAATTGCGTTGCTTTTTATATTATACAGAATAAGTCTGAGAAGAAATATTCATGCTATGATAATGCATACATGTATTTAATTAACAGTTAAAAATCTAAACTAAATCTATTCTTCTTGGAACCATATCTACGAGACTACAAATGCTTTAATTAACGAGATTTTACAAATCAAGTTCCTCCAGTATTAATCAGTTTCAGCTTCGAGCATGTAACGTGTAACCTCCCCCCCATTTCTCTACTTCGCCCCTCGCCCCCCCCCCTTGGCTACACCACTGTTTCCGGCATAGTTTCAAATATTAATCAGTTTCAAATATTAATCAGTTACATATGTAGAGATACAAACTGTAGACGTTTTGCCCTTGAACAAAAATACAGGTCCTTATTTAATAATTGAGGACAGGTCATAATTTTAAGGCGTGTACTTATCCACATTCATCTACAACATCTTTGACATGAGGTACAGGCAGCTGGAGAGATGGCAGCCCGAAGTGGGGGCAAGCTGGTCGGCAATCTGAAGGCTAGCCTGCTCACAGGCTATATTATATAGAGCCTGCGACTTTTATTGATATTTTTTCAATACGCCCCCTTTGAGATAATTGAATATCCGGTAAATAGTAGCCAATCAAAGCAAGTTTTGTTAATTAGATTACCAGAGGTTATTAACAACAACAAACAGTTTCTCGCGCAATTTTACGCCTGTATCTTTCACTAGGATTCCAAGGTCTAAACTTTAATCTAAAATAATTCATGGTCGTTTTTTCCCTAAAGTATTCTAATATTTAAAACATAGTCCCGTTTGTATATTGCTGTCTTGTTCGTACATTGCCGTTTTAAATTATGTAACTATACTACAGAGACGTAAAATTTTACTCTCTATTAGTTAATGTATTTTATATATTTATATCCAAAATATAATTGTAAGATTTAAGGAAACGTATTTAGGTTTTGAACAAAGTAACAAACACTATTTATTAAAAGTGTCGAACAATAGCAGGCTAAAAAACAACATTAATCATGTGAAGTCTGTCATTTGCTCAATAATACAATTAACTCAATAGACAATAGACAATTTGAAAACCCGTGGCATCGATTCTGCCGTGTTTAATAACTACATTTTTTTGTAAAAAGCTCTTGTTGTAATAATATATGTCACTAGTTGAGACTCTCAAAAATAAAGTCTCAAAGAGAGAGCGGACTTCGGTCAAAAAACACGCAAACGACTATTGCAAAATTTCCAGGTGTAAATTCAAATTGGCCAGGTGTTCTAAGAACGACTTTCCTCGACGGCGTCTGTTTTAATAATTTGCCCATTGTCTTGACTTATTCAAGACCAGATTGTTTAGGCAGAAAGCCTTGGGTTGACAGGGAAGTATTTGGGAGAAATGTTCGGAGGCATTTGACAATCAACTGCTTTATACTAGCTGATTCACTGCCTGTGTCTCAACGAACGTCTCGCTGGGCTAACCTTAAGTTGTTCAACGTTTGAAACCGCAAGTGATGCAAACGCGGTTAGATAAATTGTCAGCCTGAACTAGACTTATTTTACTCTCTCTGCAAAGATCAGCAAGGCATACGTCGAAGTTTTCCCTTGTACTTCTTTGGAAAAGGTTTATTATTATAGCTGACGAAGACAAAGTATCGGTATATTACATGTAAACTTTTATCAAATCCCGTTGGAAGTACAGTTAATATTGCTAACCTTCGCTCATCCTTCAACGTTAATTTAAATTGAAAGGTTTCTCAAATACATTCAGTTACTTCTTCGAAGAGATAAACAAAGTCATGGTTTTATACGCCACTGATTGAATGCCAGCTTTAAAATTACATTGCGAAATGTCGTACGAGTTAAATATTTGCACGATATTAACTCATGAGGCACTTCTGACCAATGGGAATTTTGCGTACGCTCCGTACGCATAAATCGACTTTTTACTAATAAAGGTCGCAGGCCGTTCCTCCCATGCAGCCTCTGCCTGACAACGGCCTGCGAGCAGGCTATCTGAAGGCCTGTTCCGGCATTCAGGCCAATTGTGGAAGTGGTCATTGAGTACTTACAGTTTGTGTAGTTTGACTGTACATAGTTTTACTGTAAATATATATGTGTATTGTATGCCTGGTATGGTCAAATGTTGTCGGTATGTAATTTATTTAAAAAAATACTATATATTTACCCATGTCAGTTGATGTGTAGTACAATTATTGCAGTAAGGCTTGATTAATACATTGTTGCAAAAATAAACACTTGCCTGTGAAATTAAATTTTTGGCTTATTTTCTTTGTTACTGCTGTAATATTCATTACTTTTGCACTTGTGAATTGTACAGTTAACTGGCATGTTATTTTTTTCCTTTTGAAAGGTGATAGCTTTTGTTTTTTACTTTAGAAAATGATTTTTTTCTTAAAATTTCAGAAAAACAATTGTTCTCTGACAGGTGAAAAAGGATTGGGGAGAGTTAAAGTTTGTTGAAAGATTTGTTTCTGTTTTTGCACGAAAATACTCATTTTTAGTGATACATAGCCTACCTAAATGGTAGAAAATAAGTGAAAAAGTAAGATTGATGTAACTTTAACCCATATTCGCTGTGTTCTTTTCAAATTACTTACCGAAAGTCCTAAAAACACAAAAGTTTGCCGATGTTTCTTGGCGGCTTTTTTGCCGAACTTGTTTTTCACTCATCAGACATCAAATAAGTTGAGTGTTTCTAAAATTTACTTCTGCTGAAAGACCACTTTCTCTAGTTTCCCAGAGGCACAGAAAAGCTCGACTTTCAAACAGTTGGCTGAAAATTATGAAGCTTTTATATAAAATGATGAACATTTTTCATACGGAATTTAGTAAATTTCCGTGTAGGGGCCTGGATCATACCTACAAGACGAGCTTCGATTTCCGCCATCTTGGCTTAAATTTTTGAGCCGGATTCATCGTTCCAGTCCGAGATCACTGGGTCATCCTAGCCTGTGCACATCCTGTATTACCCTGTACTACAGTACAGGGTAATACAGGATAATACAGGGTAATACAGGATGTGCACAGGCTAGGTCATCCTCACTGATCTCAAAATATGTAGCAGACTGTCGTGAATAATGAACACTGATTGGTCAAATTTGAAATTTGCATTATAACGACTGCATTGATGACAGCGAAATAACAAACATTTCTTGCAAGTTGTATTTTTGCAAGATTTTGTAAATTTCAAAACCTTTCTGAGAGCCTAAAAACGTCTAAAAACGTCTAAAAAAATAGAGCAAAGTCGCCGACGTTAAATTAATGAATTGAAGGTAAGTTTGTTTTAAATATTGATATATTGTTTGTTTTATAATTGATATATTTATAACTGATAGTGGTGGGCGATATTGCGAATATCGAACTGATACTATCATTGCGTGTATAAGTGAAAAAAGACAGCATATAATTTCAGTGTAGTTTTATTTATTAATAATTACCCTTTCTTTTGTATATTAAAGTTTTAAATAAAGAGGAAAGCAAAGTCATTTTCATGCGAGAATTTGAAATCAGTTTATTTCAAACTCAATGTTTACCGATAATTCGGTAAAAGGCCGTTTAGTTTTAAGAACATTTTAAAACGTTTTGTGAAGCGTTTGTGGTTGAATTTCACATTAAATTTACGTAAAGCTTATATTACGTATAATAACATACCTAGCATATATATGTTTGGGAAATTGGTAATTTTGTTATTAAAAGTGATATTTTGGGGGATTTTTCAATTTTAAAACTATTCTTAAAATTATCGTGTTACCATGACAACTACTTTCAATTCTACGTATTCAGAAAACATAATGTTTTGTCAATAAGGCGAGGGTTTCTGCATGCATGTATTTTCTAGTTACCATGAGAAATACGGACCAGTTGTCATGGAAATGGCGTCAGCAAAGGCCGAAATCCTCCATGTTTTTGGCTTCACTTTTTTTACCGTGAAGGTAATATAGTATAGCTCAGTGATACATACATTCATACATACATACATAATAAAAGAAAGATGGCGGTCGTTTTGAAATATAATCTCATACGATCTTCGCATTTTAAAGCATTTGTGGTTAAATTCAGATAATCAAATACCTGTTTTTAAGTGTACACTGAGCTATATATTTATACGTATTAATTCTAATACATAACTTCAATAAGACCCGGGATGGGCTCCCTATGCTTGAACCTGCGGCCTCAGAGGTGAAAAGCAAGTGCGCTAACCATGCACTTGGCCACCGAAGCCCCACTTGTACATGACTGAATCAAACTATTAAAAGTTGTTGTTCTTGATATTTACACTTCCCGAAGGGCAAGTGTCATAAATCACCAGTTTTCTGTCGTGTTTGTCGTTTTCGTCGTCGAGAAATGGAGTTTCCATCAGCACATCGCAGGCTCAAAAATTATGTGCATCTATGGATTTCTATGGATAACATATGTTTTTCTCAGTATGTGCACAGAATAGGAAGTTATACCTTCCTATTCCTCCGTATAACTTCCTATTCTGTGGTATGTGCATCTATGGAGTACACATGTTTCTTTCAGTTAACCATGGGATAACTTAGGATATCTATGTCTAAAAATATATATCCCACGACGCTTTTTTTAATTTTGTATTTTTGCATGAAACTTTCCATGGATTTATGGCACTTTTATTGCTGGAAAAGATCTCTACCACACATCGTGTCTTGGATAGGTATGTTCTACAAACCTTTACTCACTGTTAAGTCAATTTTATGTTGTAACTTGTGAATTATTAAAGCGTACCAAAGTCACATTTGAATATCAAAAATGACCTTGAATGTTGTCACGAAAATCTTTCCTGGGCCGCAAAATGAGATTTTAATCAACTTTAGGTCTAATTTCCATCTAAACTAAAACAATTATTCATTAGAAATTCATTTTATTCAAGTTTTAATGGCATGTACAGTTTAACACGAGGTTTATAAACCAAACGAGATACTTAATATTTAATTATTTATACTTCAATACTTCTCACTTCATGAAACCCCAGCTTCCCGAGTCCCAGGGCATATACCGGGTATAATAACTGGGATTTAACTCGGTTTTACTCAGTTTAGGTCTTAAGATAATATATTTAATTTAAATTTCACAACTGAACAACATTTTTAATTAACCTGAATTTTAACACTTGTGAAATATTAAAATCCCTGCCTAGTCCCAGGCTTTTCAGGTTTTCAATTGACTATTGTTTTGTATAAGCCTGGTTATTGCAGTCACAGTTCGCATACCATAAGGGGCCACATCTATATTCATGTTGCCACACATAACGTCGAATCGATGTTATGAGTGGGTGGGTTTAAATTAAACGTTAACTGCTTGAGGTTATCTTATCGAAATTTGACTATTGTTCTTAATATTGTTACAGTATAACCTTTCTATTATAAATTTTCACATTTAAGAAATAATAGTAATATAATAAAAATACAGATGAAAAAAAACTTAAAGGTGCCCTACAGTCCGTATGTAAACAAAGCCTTTGTTTACATTTTTGTGTCCAAAATATTGAGCTTTATTCGACAACTATTTATATTTTCAAGCTTTTAGAGTATAATAAATGATCAAGAAACAACAATCAGGCTTTTCAAGAACCCAAAACATAGTTAAACTGTTTGTATCATAAAAAGTGGGCTCCTTTGAGCACATGCGCAGATCAGACTGCATGTAGAGCACCTTTAAATTCTTACTGCATGTCGACAATGTCACAATCTCAGTTAACATGCATGGTTGTATACGGCGTTGTTTTGGTGCCAACAAATTTGTGCATGTTTTATTTTGATTTCAGGGTTTTAATACATCTTTAAGATAAATTGATTGATTATTTATTTATTATTTGTGACATTTTTCACAGTCAGCATATGACTATGCCACGCTCGGCATTATCCGAGGTGGGTGGGTGGGCAGGGGCGTAGGAAGCACCTGGAGTTTGGGGGGCACCGGCTTGTAGGGGCACATTACTATCGGAAAGGGCACCTAAAAAATTTTTCCCGGAAATGTTGTCGACAGGGGGGGGGGGAGAAATTTCTCCTGAGGAAAATTTTCCGTCGTATCATACCGAAATTTATGTTTGTGACCTAATTTTTAAAAAAAATTTGTAAATTTCCACACACAAACGGCACCTATTGTTTTAATTTAGTATTTACAGCGACATTAGCTTCTACAAAAGGGGCACTTTTCCTCACAAAAAAGGGCACTTTTCAACACAAAAAGGGCACTTTTTATCACAAAAAAGGGCACTTTTAGTCCTTTAAAAAAATTTGGGGGGGCACGTGCCCCCGTGCCCCCCCGCTTCCTACGTCCCTGTGGGTGGGTACAAACAATAACATTGATTCAACGTTATGCGTGGCAATATGAATATGCCCACTAAGTATAAATCACCCCTGAACGAAAAAGCATGATTAGTCAATTAAATTAGAGAAGCAGGACATAACAAGCCCATATATGCATCAGAACTGCAAGACTTTGTTCTTGCACTTTATTGGCTTGCTTTGTCAAAGTGGTCCCACTTATAGTAGACGCACTGTAAGATCTTGGCTCGCCCTCATATAAACCCCTTTTTGAATGTTATGATGTGATTGATGCTGTGATGTGACTGATGTTGTCATGTGACTGATATGATGTAACTCATTTTATGATGTGATTGATGTTGTGATGTGACTGATGTTGACTTTGACTTCAATATCTATGTTGAGATTCTACCGTTGATCCAATTGATTACAACTATAAGGATGAATGGTGCTGATGTTTGTAAAAAGCATTTGAAGGTTTCAATTAGCTTGGCCAATCAACATGAGGGAAGTTAAAGGTGATTGGCTGATCAGATTAAATCTATAAAGTACTCTTGACAAACATTGAAGTTTCATGTGAGAATAGACAATGTTTTTATCAACATTGTTCATGCATCCTTAATAATTGCAATTGACGGTATTTCAAGGTACAGTAGCTGTCGCCTCTGAATCACAATTTTTTATTTTTTAGACACAGCTTTGGGCAAGATCATGTTGCATATTTTCAATCACTTCTCTTTGAAATAAGCCAACCTTTTGTTTTACTTCTTTGTTTGTAAATATCAAGATGAAAAAAATAAAAGTTTAACTTTAAGTGATGAAAGTTACTATTTTGTTATGAAAGTTACTTTTATATTTGACATACATGTAAAGAAATATAAAGGCAAATTGCCCCCTATTTCCTGGGCCTCCCTCTAAGCGGCTGTGTCATGACACAGCAATACAATTCTGCCAAAGCCTTAGAATCGCACCTAATTTATGCTAGGAACACGAGTTATTGGTATTTTAGTCATTTTATGCTAGTACTTGGTATTTTAGTCATTTTATGCTATGTGAAGTACTTATACCAAAGTCAATAGAACTTAGTTCTATTAACTGTGTTTATACTAAAGGACACGGTCCATTTTAATTTATCATCAAAATTGTCTCATGAATGCCTTTTACTGTCTTAGATGTATGCTCTTAACCAACTATATAGTACCACTACCCTCCTGAGACCTGAGGCTTTATAGCCGTGCATCAATGTTGCAGCGTCGTGTTGAGGCCAGTGTGAACGCCTGAGCAAGCGTCTTGTTCAAAATATCTGACAGATTGTACCTTCGGTATTTATAATTAAAAGTTACCGAGTTAACTTTTGCTTTGAAGCTACAGTATCTGCAATGTATGCGTGAATTTGGCTCATCGCCTTCGGCTTTAATAGTATCTCAGTAGCAGAATCTTGCTGATGTGATCCCTGACATATTTTAATAAAACCAAGGTATGACTCGAAACTGTTCTACACAGTCATCTGAAAGTAGGGGTTCTACAGGTACCAGCTCTCCTGCATCCCCACTCCCTTCTCTATATTACATCATAGACATAGCACGCATGTCCTCATTTTTGCGGCATCTTGTTTAATATGAATGTTGTAAAAGTTGTGTTAATTGTATGTAGGAAATCTAATTTAGATTGTAAAGTATGAGGATGTTTGTGGGCAAAATATATAGTTGTTTTTGCCAAAACCTATAATGAACGGATGGACAAACTATTAAGATTACGTTATCGTAAGAAGCTAACGCAGCAAAACCCCCTTTTTGGCTGCCAAGCGCGGAAACCTCAGGAATGCGCGCGTCAATGCTTTGGCTCAGAGACCTTAGCTAATATTATAAATAGAGTTGTAAAATGTAAGAGTGGAGTTTGGAGTTCGAAGTGAGAAGTTTGAGATTGAATCGAGATTGAATTTGATGTATTTAGAATATGTTTGAATATCGAAAGGTTTGAATATTATGTTTGAATATCGAAGGGTCCTTGCCCAGTACGTCGTCTGCCCCTCAGAGTTCTAGTAGTGAGACGGCGACAGCGAATATTAAACAAACGGTTACCCAGACTTGAAGTCCCTAAATTTTCAGGAAAGGTTCACGAATGGCAGGAATTCTGGGACGGGTTTTCAAGCGCCATAGACGGTAATACCCAGTTAAATTAAGTGAGGTAGACAAGTTTTCCTACTTACGTGGCTTGTTGTTTGCCCTTACCGCAGATAATTATAAAGCAGCGGTCGATCTTTTGAAGAAACGTTACGGTAAAAAGATTTTAATACAACGCGCGTATGTAAAAAGTTAACTCTGACTAAACGAAACACACTCAGTTTACTTGCGAGTCAATTTGATCCGATGGGGTGAATTGGTCGTATTATAATTCGCATGAAAATGTTGTTTCAGGAGATTTGTCGAGAAAACCTTGACTGGGATGTAAATTTAGAAGGGTAATTTAAACTCAAGTGGGAAGAAATAGTAAGACATTTGTTAGCAATCAAAGAGATTAATATAAGTCAATGCATTTATAAACATCCGAGGCGGGTAATCCGCAAGTGCTTTCTCCATGGGTTTGGAGACGCAAGCACTAAAGGTTATTGCGCTGTTGTATATTTAGTATATCACGCGGAAGACGGAATATATACAGTATTGCTTACTTCAAAGTGCCGAGTGGCACCACTGAAAGAATTAACTAAAAACTAGCAAAAATTCTGGCTCAATTAATGGATAGTGTAATGAAAGCTATGGAACGTGACATTAAATTTAATGGATTGAAATATTGGTTAGACAGTAAAACAACCCTGTGTTGGATTGAAAACAGATTTAAACAGGGGGAGTGGAAACAATTTGTTCGTCACCGCGTTGCTGAAATTTTAAAATTAACAAAAAAAAAATATTGGGGGTTATTGTCCAAGCGCGGAAAATCCCGCAGACCTAGGCTCGAGAGGCACGTTTGGCTCTGATTTGAAAGACGAAAAGCTTTGGTGGCACGGGCCTTTATGGTTAAGTCAAGAGAAAAAACAATTGGCCACAAAAGGCAAATATTGTAAGTACCCCGGAGTGTGTTAGTGGTCGAAATAACAGAACCGTGCAGTATTAACTAAGTTTTAGACATAAGTCGATATAGTTCTTTGAGAAAACTCGTGAGAGTCACAGCACTCGTTTTACGTTTTATCCATAAGCTGAGAACCCGGAAAGTATTACAGCATGATGAAAATGAGTTGACAGATGGGGAAGTTATTACCCTAGATCGAGAGGAATTAATTAACGCAGAAAATGCGTGGGTTGAAACAGCGCAAACAGAGTTACGCAAACAGGATAATTTTGATCAACTTAAAAGGACGTTAAATATAATTACACTGACCTGAAAGGTCAAGTGTCTTAAATCCCTAATTTTCTGTTTTCTTCGTCGTCGAAAAATCGAGTTTCCGTTCGCGCATCGCAGGCTCAGGGTGCAACGATCAAGCCAAAATGCCATCGATTCCCTCGTTTCCATGATTTAGATAGTATAGTAATAAGCTCGCATTTATGCACGTAATAGTCGACTCATGCCATGCTTGTGGTACATTTTTCGTTTATTAGCCCATATATAGACTTGTACGCACGCGCACAATTCCGAACTCCAAGGGTGACATATTCAGTCCAGTTTCAAAATGGCAGCTTTTGATTGAGCGATCAAAATATATTTCACACAGTTTCGTTGAATTTTCGAAAAGTTGTGCCGGTTTCCTGTGGATTTTACGTTTCGTCGCACTCTGGACTTTCTTGCATGTTGAATTAATCTGTTTTTCTTTGTGTAACGACTCGAAAAACCCAAAATTTGGACCGGCGAATTTTAATATACAATATAGTGGAATATACAATATCGTGGAATACAATTAACAAGGACAAATTAAAGGTTTGACAGGTTGGCTTTAATAAACAACTATAAATATACGTTGTCGACTCATAAACATCCGTTGTTTATTTGTGTTCATTTTTGTGTCGCACTCTGGACATTCGTTCGTGTTGAATTAATGTTTTTCTTTTTGTATTAAAATTAAACGACTCGAAAACCCCCCAAATTTGGACCCAGCGAATTTATACCATATAGTGGAATATAAACAAGGACAATTAAGTTAAAGGTTGACAGTTTGACTACACAACGCAGTTTTAATTAAACAAAATCTTACAAAATTCTCATTCTCAACAAAATATCGACAATATATCTTACATGTATTAAAATTCGCGCAGTACTACTAAGAATTCGTGTAGCGCTGTGTGCGCAAATTTTAGTACTGCGCGAAATATAATACGCGCAAAAAGCTTTGTGTTGCTACAGTAAGTTAAAGATACAGCGTGCGTTCAAAATAATAACAAGGACTAAAACATTTATTGTATGGTTCTCATTTGCCTAATGCCTAATACAATAACATTAGTTCGACGCGAATTTTAATACAAGTAAGGTATGGTATCATATTTCATACTATAAGGAACAATGTAAACTAGCCATACATTTCGCCGAACATATAAACTTCGGCCCCTTTGGACATATCTTTTTCGTAATAGTATTATTGGAACCAGAATCCAAGGTTGGCAGTTGACTACACAGCGTAGTTTTAATTAAAGAAAATCTCCTAATTCCTTACGATAGTTTTAGCCAAATGTCGACATGAATATACCTTACATGTATTAAAATTCGCGCAATACTAGAATTCGTGTAGCGCTGGGTGCGCAAATTTTAATACTGCGCGAACTATAATCCGCGCAAAAAGCTTGTGGTAGCTACTGTAAAGATAAAGCGTGCGTTCAAAATACCAACCAGGACTAAAACTGTAAAACATTTATTGTATGGTTCTCATTCGCCTAATACAATAACATGTATAGTTCGACGCGAATTTTAATACAAGTAAGGTATGGTATCATATTTCATAATATAAGGAACAATGTAAACTAGCCATACATTTCGTCGAACATATAAATTTCGGACATATAAACAAATAAACTGTATGACTATTTATATAGTGTTATTTTCAAGCTTGTGTCTTCAGATTTTCATCTTTTATTTCGGTATTTACAGAATATTTATATTTGACATATTTCTAGCGCCGCCCATGAAACGTACATCAAAACAATCCGCTGTGAAAAAAAAAACGGAAACCGATTCTGTAGGTCAAAGTACTCCCAGTGGCAAGGTTTGCACGTGCATCGGTCAGGCTATAAATATGGCCAAGCATCAACGTGGCGCTAGACTTGCCACAAGTTCGGCGCTCGCTGCTTGCGTTTCGTTGAAGGTCGATGGGGTTAGCGTGGTTAAATAAAGTTTTCTATCTATCTATCTAGTCTAACGTGGCGCGTGCGTGCGCGAGTAAAACCCCGATATTTTGAAAAATTAAAATAAATATTTCTACTCTGTGCCGTATTCAAACGCAACTTTGTACATGAATACATGAAAGCGCTTGAACACAAGACGTATTTTATTCACATTGACTCTGAACAAATTCTGAAGAGCTTAGAAGATATTCAAGTTTTTTTCTCGATATGAAATACTGAATGTTTGGCCAAGCGGTGAGTAAATATATGATTGTTTTGGTTTGTGTAATGTTTTGACGGCACTTGACCCCCCCCCCCCCGCAGGATTACAATGGTGCTTGTCGTTTTAAAGGGGGGTAAATCAATAAATACTAAAGTAGATAGACAGTAAATACTAAAGTAGGGTGCATTGGCAGCTAATGGGCTAATAAAAGACATTTATTGGCGTATGTGTTTGTGAAACCATTTACTGATAGTACGCTACCACTGACAACTATAATCGTCAGGCGGTACACGGTGTACACTTGTCTGGCGTTAGTCAGAGTTAATTATTACTGAAAGTAGTGTGCATTGCCAGCTAGTAGGTTAGTAGACTAATATCCACTTTTGACCCAATGTCCTCATTTTCATGTTGGTTATTTACTCTATTCCGTGCACATAACTTAAGAATAAGTTTGCGATTGGGCTTAAATGATGAACGAGAAACAAATTTGTGCAGGAAATATACGGGATATAACCTTCATGGGCAGGCCTGCCATGCTACCAATGATGAAACGTGAAAATTAAGCCATTGGGTCAAAAGTAAACTTCCTTTTAGAGAATTGTTTAGAAATACAAATTAACTTTTGCATTCAGTTGATGTGGCAAAACGGCAGCACTTTCCTTGCGATAGTAACTCCTAGTTGTAGATTTGCACCATAGGTCTCCCAAAAAGGTCTTTTAGTTTTTCCATACAATTTGCTTGCGGTTTACGACTTGTATTCTTGTCTATTGCACCATAGCACGTATGTCGTCATTTTCAGGTCAGTGTGAACGCCTGAGCAGGCGTCTCGTTGAAGATGAAAATGGCATGCTTAGGTGCGTAGGAAGACTTGAAAATTAAGATTTAAGTGATTTTGCTCGTAGACCTTTAATTTTGCCTAGAGAACACAGGTTTACTAATTTAGTTATTGAAGATTGTCATACTAGAGTTCACCACAATGGACTTAGAGGGTCGTTAGCCGAATTGCGTTCAAGGTACTGGGTACCAAGAGCGAGGCAGATTGTTAAGAAAATAATTCATAAGTGTGTCATATGTAAGAAGGTTGCAGGAAAGTCTTATACGGCCCCACCTATGGCGGCCTTACCGGTTTCGAGTAGGTGAAAGTCTCCCGTTTTCCTGAAAAAGTTGGAGTTGATTTTGCCGGACCATTATTTGTTAAGAGTAACATAGAAGAATCGAAAAAGGCTTACATTGCCCTTTTCTCTTGTTGCGTGCATGACACGTGCGGTACATCTGGAATTAGTTGAAGATTTGACATCACAAACATTTAGACGAGCACTTAGGCGTTTTTCGAGTAGATGCGGAACTCCGGCCCTGATAGTTTCAGACAATGCTAAGACACTTTCGTGCAACACAGAAGGCTCTAAAACAGTTGTTTAACCATCCTGAAGTTAGGAGCGAACTCGAACGTACGAAAACAGAATGGCGTTTCAACCTGGAACGCGCTCCCTGGTGGGGAGGATTTTTCGAACGCCATGTGGGATGCGTGAAGGCATGTTTAAAAAAGGTACTAGGCAATGCAAAACCGACCTATAACGAATTACTGACTGCTGTGATAGAGGTTGAAGGCACTCCAAATTCCAGACCATTGACGATTTGACGTACGTATACGTACGAGGAACTATACGAGGACGTTTTAACTCCATCACATTTAATTCATAGCAGGCGTTTAAAGTCCTTGCCAGAATGGAACATAGAGGAAGCAGCTGAGAATGAGACTAATTGTAGCAAAAGATTTAGACATTTGACGCTTAGGTTAGTGCACTTTTGGAATAGATGGAGAAAGGAATACTTAACAGATCTTAGAGAGTTTCACAAAGCCAAGAGTAGCGTTTTTTAAGAGAATATGAAAGGAGCACAGTGGAAAACAGCGGTTGTCGAACGATTAAAGGTAAAGATGAGATAATTAGAGGTGCAGAAGTTAGGGTAATTACGAAAGGTAAACGTTTACGCATTTCAAGACCAATTCAAAAACTAAACCCTCTAGAAATAAGAGCCACCCTCGAGAAAAATGAAGAGGTTAAGAAAACGCTCGTAAGTAAGAGCGACATTCCCACACGATAATCCTAAGCGAGCGGTGGCACTGGACTGTAAATGGAAAATGCGTAGGATTGATTCGTAGCGAATCAAAGGGGGGAGAGTGTTGTAAAAGTTGTGTTAATTGTATGTAGGAAATATAATCATAGGTAGCCCAGACACACTGTGCGATTTAAATTTAAATGCTTGGCATACTTAATTACCCCCTGCGGTATCGATTTCAAAATAATAATGTTAACGATCAAAAATATTCCGAATTTTTACACCAAAATGTATCACTAATCAATGCTTATCGTTGAAGGAAATATACTTAGGTACATAGCATGCGCATGCATCAACATAAATAGTTTATACCTTTAGTAGAAGCACTTGAAATCCAGCTTTAAAATCATGACATTCACGGCGACGCGGCGGAGGAGGGGAAAGGAGACAAGGTTGGCAACATCCATTGGCCAAGCTGCACGTATCACCATAAACAAACCCGTCTAACTCAACAATACGGAAAGCTCAGCCGAAAATTCTACAACAGCTGATAAAACAACTATCTTGCTTTCCAACAATGTACTCCTTTCAAAATTTGAAATTTACCGTCCGTGAACCTTGTTTACCTTGCGCCCAGTCACATCGTAAATTTTGTATGGAGGCTGTGGTTTGAAGTGAAATTTCTGCAAAGGGAAACTTTCAAATTTTGAAAGGAGTACATTGTTGGAAAGCAAGATAGTTGTTTTATCAGCTGTTCTAGAATTTTCGGCTGAGCTTTCCGTATTGTTGAGTTAGACGGGTTTGTTTATGGTGATACGTGCAGCTTGGCCAATGGATGTTGCCAACCTTGTCTCCTTTCCCCTCCTCCGCCGCGTCGCCGTGAATGTCATGATTTTAAAGCTGGATTTCAAGTGTGTCTACTAAAGGTATAAACTATTTATGTTGATGCATACGCATGCTATGTACCTAAGTATATTTCCTTCAACGATAAGCTTGATTAGTGATATATTTTAGTGTAAAAATTCGGAATATTTTTGAGCTGATCGTTAACATTATTATTTTGAAATCGATACCGCAGGGGGTAATTAAGTATGCCAAGCATTTAAATTTAAATCGCACAGTGTGTCTGGGCTACCTATGATATAATTTAGATTGTAAAGTATGACGATGTTTGTGGGCAAAATATATAGTTGTTTTTGCCAAAACTTATAATGAACGTATGGAGAAAGATTACGTTATCGTAAGAAGCTAACGCAGCAAACCCCGCTTATTGGCTGCCAAGCGCGGAAACCTCAGGAATGCGCGCGTTAATGCTTTGGCTCAGAGACCTTAGCTAATATTGTAAATAGAGTTGTAAAATGTAAGAGCGGAGTTCGAAGTGAGAAGTTTGAGATTGAATCTAGATTGAATTGATGTATTTAGAGAATTGTTCAAATGTTGTAACGCAATTATAATAAAGAAAATATATAACCGATAGATACAGTCCCTTGATCGAAGGAATTGGGAACCAGCGAGTGCAAACTTCCTTGACGGTGTAGACTGTGGGTAAAGTTTGCGAAAATGAAATATATAAAGCCGTTGGCAGGTACATACCTATTGCGATTACTTAAAACATTGATTACTGCTGCAAATTTGCAGAGAAATCATACATGATCTTTATATCAATATTTAGTTGTAAGAATGTTTGAAAATTACTGTGGTCTGTGACTAAGTGAGTTGTTCTCGCGTGTACCACGAACACGAAATAAACACGCAACTAGACTTACCCTCATGTTCTTACCATATAAATATGCGCCTCTTGCACTGTCGAATTATGTTTCGATTTTTATACTTCAAAACTTTTGACGAAAACGTGTCTGAAGGAACGTTTCAAGTGCACTCTCCTCCGCAGAGTCTGAATTATTTAGGATTTGTAGGGATAGTAAAGGATATTTAGTGGTGCGCGACGGGGGGGTGAGATCGATGGTTGACAAAATGTAATCAAGACTCTGCCATATAATCACTGAGCTATACTATAACTGGAGGACGTGCTCGGGATAAAAAAGTGAAGCCAAAAACATGGCGGATTTTGACGCCATTTCCATGGCAACTGGTTCCTTTTGGCCATGAAAATACCACTGACCAGGCTCATTTCTGAGCCCGCTGCAGTTTTCACACCCCCCTGGTTTTTTCCAAAATATTCATAGGTTTTTCGAGTTTTTGCAGTGAATTCCCGTTGTTTTTGATATTTTTACATATTTATCGACCTGCGACCATCTATTCAAAGAAATACAAGTCGTAAACGTCCGGGAAAGACAACAAACGCCTTGCAAAATGTTGGCAAAGACGATATTTGAAGCAAGAGGCGCAGCTATTTAAATAATACAGCACAGCCAGGTAAAAATACTATTGAAAAACAATATAATATGCATTTATTTTTTAGCATGAGAAGCTTTGTACAATATAATGAATATTTTAGCCACGATTATTTAAGTCGTACAAATGTAGAGATATTTCACCACACTTCCTCCCACAAACCGACAAACGCAATGGGTTCAAATTTAACATGCTTGAATTTCATACTATTCAGATTTGCTGAGTATAAACTTTTATTTGTATCAAAGGAAGAGTATAAACTGAGTATAAACTTTTATTTATCTGGCAGATTTGCTGAGTATAAACTTTTATTTACAGGTGTGAAGACATGCATGAAACTACTATGTACTTACTATCTTTAAAAGAAGGATCTAGGGTGTCAAAGAAATCAGTGTTTTGTCAAGAAACTTTAACATCTGACATGTCATATAAAGCTGAGGCCTCTTTTCCATTCATTGCAAGAGCAACATAACCTTTGCTAGTGTTTTCAACCA